AGAACTGAATTTTTATACAATACAAATATCATATTCGAAATCAGCGCCAAAAGCTGAGTCGAACGCTTCAAGACTTTTCGTTGATTTCCATTTTTTGTTAAAATTCTCAGTAGTTTTTGGACGTAAAAATCCCCAAAAAACTCAAAATAGTCGACTAGCGTAAAAAAAAGTATATTGTTCGACACAGTTTCTGACGCTGATTTCGAATATGATATTTGTATTGTATAAAAATTCAGTTCTTGTGGAGAAAATTGAGAGTTACGCTCAGATTCTGATTTTTTCGCTTCTGATCTAGAAAAAATGAATTTTCTCAATGACGAAGCAAAATTAAAAAAAGCAATTTATACTTTTAAAGCGTGTTCAATGGCGGTTTTAATGAGATACAAAAATCGGCTTCATTTCTTCACAAAAAAAAAATAGATAGGTTTGCAAAATCGCTGATGAACTTTTTACATAGAAGTCCAAGAGGTCCATACTGGATAGACCTTTGAGATCAAGCATCATTCTTATACTCAGTTTTGGATGCTGAATGTGTAAAAAGCACATCTGAAAAGTTAGAAGTGCAAAGAAGAAAACAGTTTGAGTTATTGTGAAACTGAAGGGTTTTTCGAAATTTTAGACCCTTCGAATTTTTTCAATTTTTCACAAAATACAAAAATGCAAAAGTAAAAGCCTGATGAATTTTCTGCACCTTAAAAATCTGATCTGTTTGAACACTTCAAAACAGAAAATTGGCTCCTACTTATTTGTATATGGTACTTCAACACCCGCTTGTTTTAACCATCGTGAATGTTGTGCCATTAAATCTCTTCTACATGTTGCTGGAGTGTCTTTTGAACCTTCGCTAGTTTTCAGTGGAGAAAATTCTTCTTCACGTTTCACTTCCCACACAGCAAATGTTCTTCAAAAAGAGAAAAAAAGCATAAAATGATAAGAACAAAATGTATTTACAAATATAGACAATCTACTTTGAAAATGGAAACACATCAAATACGAATTTTTCTAATTTAATTCCGTTGGGTTCTTTGTGTGATTCAATTTTTACTCCGTTTTCTCCTAAACATGGAATTTTTTTCTTTGCCACATGATAACGTAATTCATTCTCATTATCTCTAAAATAGTAGTTGTTTGTTATTTACAAAAATTTGCATAAAAAAAGTAAAGATAAAAGGAAAATCATACTCGCAAACAGCTTGAAGAAAATTAACGGAAAAAAAATGATTACATATATTTCCAGCATTAAATAATAATTCACCATCCGGTTTACAGCGTCGAGCAGTATCACTGGATATTTCACTGTATTCAACAACTTGAAAACGATTTTTTACTTTACATATAACGCCAACAGCTTCATCAGGAGATGATTTTTTAACAACCTGAATAAATAAAACGAAACTATTCATTTATTATACTATTCTAATCGAAGTCAGTTTGCGATAAAATTCACAACATTTTTAGTGACGATAGAATATACCGTTAGTGCCGTAAC